TGCGAGCCGCGGGCCACTAGGCCTAATCAAGGCAGCGGGGATACGGCGGCTTGCGGGAACTTTGACGAAATCGACGCCGCGATCAAGTTCATCAGCGCATCAGAAAAAAAGATTGAACAGTTCGAAAGCGAAAGAACGAAGAGTGTTTGTGGCTCTGTGAGCGGAGTATTTTGTGACATCGGCGCACTGACATCGATGGTAAGCCGTGCTGTTTGTCCAACATGCCACACCGCTGGACTCGTCGTTCGCGACACCGCAAGTAAACGTAAGGGCCTCTCTTCGTTCCTCGAGCTGCACTGTGATAACAGTGAGTGTCCTGAGTCAGTGGTTTCTGCCGCGCATAGTTCGCGGCGTGTTCTGCCGGAAAGACAGCCCACCGATGCCGGTGATGACTGGAGCTACCGAAGCGGCAGCTCGCGTGACAGCTTCGCTGTCAATGTGAAGGTAGTTGTGGCTGCGCGTGCAATAGGCATTGGGCATGAACAGCTGTCGCGTTTTTGCGCTATTCTTGGACTGCCAATACCTATGCATCATAAGACTTTTATTGCAATTGGCAAAAAAGTTCATGCTGCAGCTACCAAAGCTGTGCAAGAAAACCTGGCGAAAGCGCGGATGATAACTAAAGAGAAAGTGGATGGGGCTGATGTTGCTGTCATGTATGATGGCACATGGCAAAAAAGAGGGCACAAGAGCCACAATGGCATCGGCACTGCTGTGTCTGTGGACACTGGTTTGTGCCTAGATTTTGAAGTGCTATCGAATTACTGCCTTGCCTGTAGCCGGCACCAGGACTTGGGTGATGAGGAAGAAATATGGCAAGCATTCCACACACCTGTCTGCGAAAAAAATACAGAGTGCTCCTCTCATGCCATGGAGACTGAGGCAGCTTTGCGCATATGGGGCAGGACATCCTCATACACAACACCATTGCGCTTCACAAAGTTCCTCAGTGATGGGGACAGCAAAGCTTATACCGCTGTCGCTGAGGCCAAGGTATATGGTGAAGCTGTTGTGGACAAGGAGGAGTGCACAAACCATGTGGCCAAGCGTCTAGGCACTGCACTTCGGAAACTGCCAACAAGACTTCCACGAGGGGAAAAGCTGACAGATGGCACAATTCAGAAGCTGCAGAACTATTACCGTATTGCAATCACAAACAACAGAGGTGATATTCTGAAAATGCATCGTGCCATCTGGGCCTCATATTTCCATTCATCATCGAGCAACACAGCAGGCAGCCACCGATACTGTCCAGAAGGGGCGACTTCCTGGTGCAAGCATAGGCGAGCTGAAGCGCTTGGGGAGGCCCCACCCGACCACACACCAATCTTGACCAAGGCTCAAGGATTGGCTGTGCTTCCCATTTACAAGCGGCTCACAGATGAAAAGTTGCTGGTGCGTTGTATCCAAGGGAAGACCCAAAACGCTGCAGAATCTTTGAACAGCAAAATCTGGTTGTTGTGTCCGAAGACTAAGTTTGCCTCCCGGACAACAGTGGAAACTGCAGCTGCTATGGCCGTGTTGTGGTTCAATAAAGGACATTCAAGCTTTGAACACGTGCTAGAGGAGCTTGGTGTAGTCCCACCAGATCAACTGATCACCCTGGGCCAATCCCGCGACCAGAGGAGAATCGAAAGAATGTCTGCGTGTGAAACAGCCGAGGCAAGGGCCCATCGGCGGAACGTGGCAAAGAAAGCGCGCCTTGATGACTCCCTTCTCAAGCGGCGAGAAGGATCCACATATGGAGCAGGACAATTTTAGGTGCTCTAGCTGTGTCCCTTCTATGATATCACCAAGTTTTGTGCAAATCGCACTGTGTAATCATGAGTAAACATATTTACAACTTTCAAATGCATTTTTCTCGATTTCCATTTTGAGGTAATTCTCTCATCTTGTGCACAATCTTTTTTAGGCATAAAATAGTCCTATCTTGATGAAATTTTGCACAGAGCTTAATCAGCCACTCTAGAATACAAGTATCTACTTTAGGTTGCATTATACATCACAGATTTTTTGTTACACAACTTGATACACTGATAGAGAGATGTAAAATATGCATTTAGTACTTTTAATTTTTTTTTTTAATGTAGCAAATAAATTTTCTGTTTGAGGTACTTTTCTGTATTGTACTGCTCAAGTGCAGCAGAATGAGCCATTTTGCAATTCTGTGTGAAAATTTTTAGTAAGCTTTATTATGTGCACAAAAAACACTATATTTTGATATCAAAGTTGTAGTAACTCCGGAACTACTATAGCTATCAAACAAATAATTGCAGTTATGAAATCAGCACTGCAAGCTTTACTAACACCTAAAATTTCAAGGAGCTGGGTTATGAAATAAAAAAAAACCTTTTTCGAGTAGCATCTCCCCTTAAGAAAAGGTACGACCTAGCCTTCAAGCGAATGTGCGGCGAGAGTGGTTCCGTCGAACAAACGTTCGTGACCAACTACCGCGCTGACAAGCTGTGCGCACTGCTGCGCCAATATCCACCAGAAAACGTCTTTAATTGTGACGAGACTGGACTTTTCTATAAGATGCTGCCCGACAAGACGCTAGCTTAGTCTGGCGAACCCTGTCATGGGGGGAAGCATAGCAAGGAGCGACTGACAGTTGCTGTAGGAGGCAACATGACGGGGACGGAGAATCTTCCGCTCCTCGTGATAGGGAAATCGAAAAATCCAAGATGTTTTAAAGCCGTCAAATCACTCCCTGTGTGGTATGAAGCAAATTCGAAGGCGTGGATTACGCGAAACCTCTTCGAACAGTACCTTCGCAAGCTCGACCGCCGGTACGAACAGCAAAATCGCAAGGTGCTGATGTTCGTCGACAACTGCGGTGCCCATGGGCATATCGACAACTTGAAGGCTATGACAGTGGAGTTTTTGCCGCCTAACACGACAAGCGTGTTGCAGCCCATGGACCAGGGCGTGATCAAAAACTTGAAAGTTCATTACCGGTCGCGCCTGCTGAATCGTGTGCTGTTATGCGTCGACAGTAACAAAAACTACGTCGTGGATGTTCTGACGGCCATCAGCATGTTGTCCGATGCCTGGAAGTCAGTGACTCAGGAAACGATCCACAACTGCTTCCGCCACGCAGGATTTATTACTGGGATTGAGGAGGACAGTGCCACAGGCCAGAACCCCGCGGTTGAGAGTCCGCCTACCGCAGCAGCGAACATTTTGGACGACCTTCGTGCTAGCGGGGTCGATGTGGGGGCGGGTACGTTTGAAGAGTTCGCCAACTTCGACAGTGCCGTTTTGCCTTGCGCAGAGTTGGACGATGACGAGATCGTCCGTCAGGTCTGCGAGCCGGCGCTGGCGGACAGTGACTCCGACGATGACGCGCCGCCCGCACCACAGCCATCAAATGCGGACTTAGCGCAGGCCATATCGATGGTGTTGTCTGTCTACAGCGACGGCCAGACACTCGCAGAGGTACAGACCGACGTGGTCGCACGTAAGCGTGCGTGTGTGCAGACGCGCATAGACAGTTTTTTCGGGCGATCGGGCCAATAAAAGTGCTTTTTTTCGAGTGAATCCGTTTTTTCGGACTCCCGATTATTCGGACTTTTCGGCGGTTCCCGTCGAGTCCGAATAAACGGTCGAGGACTGTAATATGCAGCCAGAGCAGACATTGACATTCAAAGGAGAGAGCTGTCACGGGGGTAAGCGAAGCAAAAAGCGTCTTACTGTATTGCTTTGCACTAATGAAGACGGCTCAGAAAAGCTTCTTGCACTCGTGATCAGCAAGTTTGCGAAGCCGCGATGCTTCAAGAATTTGAAAAGGCTGCCGTGCCAGTACATGTTTAACCTGAAAGCCTGGATGACAGCTGCTATGTTTTCAACATATCTGCAGCAGCTGGACTCAAAAATGGGGGCTAAAAACAGAAAGATTCTTCTTCTGCTTGACAATGCGCCATGCCATCCATTAGATACGTCGCATTTGAGAAATGTGAAAGTTACATTTCTGCCCCCCAACTGCACTAGCCAGCTGCAGCCACTTGACGCCGGCGTCATCAAGTGCATGAAGCAGAAATATCTGAAGTTTCTGGAGCAGCGTCGGCTGGCGGGCATGGAACGCAAGCGGTTGGATAAGAAGCTTTCTGTGCTTAATGCAATGCACTACATTGCTAGGGCATGGGACGCATGCACGCCAGAAACCATTGTGAACTGCCTCAGGCACTGCGGCTTTAATAGAAGTGGTGCTTGTTCTACCAGTGAAGCTGCAGTGCCTGTTGACGACGAACTAGAGTTCGGCAACCTGGAGCTGCCTGGATCCTCCGCGGACTATGTTGGTGCCGACGAGGACGTTGCAGTGTGCAGTGCAGTGTCGCTGGATGACATTATCGAAACTGTGCGTTCTGACACTGCGGGAACTTCCGACGAGAAAGAGATGGATGACACTGCAGAGGCTAGTGCGTCCGTTCCGCCGTACGCGGACGTGTTGTGCTACATCGACAACATTCGGCGACTTGCTTGAGCACGCGACGAGAACGACGACTTGCTGCCAGATGTCGCAGCTCACAAAAGAAAGCTGATGCATCGTGACTGGGCAAACTCGCAGAAAAAAATCATAGAATTTTTTTAAAAGGTAAGAATAAAGATTTGTTCATACCTCCGATAAAATGCGTGGTTGTCATTCTTTCAAGTAATTTAATCTACCTTCATCGGAGCAGCGTAGATTTGTGCCATGGACTTTCTTACGCATTATGTGACAACTGTTGTGGGGCAACAACGACCATCAGTGCCTATATTCTTGGTTTTTCGATTATACGACGCCCAAATTATATGACGATTTTGCGTATTCCCCTGAAAGTGGTATTATCGAAATTCCACTGTATAGTGAATTCCAGGTTGCGTGCTGCACCATAATGCCTGTTTTCAGGAGCCTAGACAACGAATTGGCAGCATTTTCGAGTCATCCTGAAAAAAAGTGTTACAGGGCCCCTTTAACGTGAGGCAAGGTTGAAGGTCACTTATAGAGTGAAGAGTGTCACCTGGAACCCGGTTCTCGGGCAGATGGTAGGATGCAGCTTCCAAAAACACTAGTGCATCTGTGATGGAGGCACGGACTTCCCCACAGCCGCCTTCACCGTCATCCACCAGGTCCACAAGGAGGGTGTCGGCCTGCCGTTCCACCTCCTGCAAGGAGGCGTCGCCAACATTCACAAGAACCCCAAAAATTGTGTTTTAGCATTTCAATGAGCCAAAGCTCATTGAAATGCTTTCGAAACACACTGAATCGCTTTCGAAACGCATTGTAGTAGAGAGACCTAGATGAGTGCACAAAATTTGTTAATACTGTAAAGTAGTATAGGCTGATTAAAGATTATTATTGAATTGGTGTGTTAACCAGGGTGCTGGAAGCTACATGATTAGGAGGACCTGTCAAAACTCCTTGCATTGTCAAAACTCAAGACCCTGTCAAAAGCCTCATTTGGTATCGATGCAGTGAAAGAAGGATAATGGATTAAAAGCTTATTTTCCTTGTCAGATGCAGCCTATTGAAACTGACAGTCAAAACTGACAAAGAGCGCTACAGTATTGCAAAACTTCATCGAACATGTTGGTGACTACTTTTTTCTTAAGCATACAGACACAAAGATGCAAGAAGATCTGCTGCAATATTAAGAAACGTACCCTGAGAATCAATTTCCTGTTTAGTGTAAGCTTCCCAAATAAAGCATTGTTTTCCTTTTTCCAGCGTACATCCTGAAAAAGAGGGGAAAAAATGTAAATGCAACAACCTAATAATTACCAAAAAGCATTCCTGTGACCCAGCGATGAACACGAACATTTTATCGCCCATGAAGATGTGCAGTCATTAGAAAACAAACTAACCAGGCAACATCAGAAAAAAAAAAAAAACGTGGCTGGCTCTCAGCTTCTGCATTGAATGAAAGCAACAAAGAATAACAAGGTTGGTTGCAAGGAAGAAAGGTGCTGCTCGCTTCGTTGGCACTTGGGTTTATTTTAAGCCATGATAAATGGGTCCTTGCACTTTTCAGACATTGTCTCAGCTGTGACTTTTAAAAAGCGATATAGAAGTTACGGGCATGAAAGAACTTTCATTCAATGCAAATGCAATTGAAAAGTTTATTAAAATATACAGCACCTGCTTCAGATCTGCACCTCTGCCTTCGATTCCCAGAAATCCGAAGCCATCTTTTCCTTGCTCATTAATTATTTGTGAGCATAAAGTTTATAAAGAATTATGATGAGACAAGGGGTACTCTAAACGTCCTCCACAGCTTAGCAGAGTAGGATACTCACGGCTCTAGGCACTACGTTGTAGAGAGAGCACTTGATAGCCAAGTGGCCCAGCCTCTCAAAACGAGGGGACATGCGCCGTAGCCTGGAATGAATAATAGAATGTCGCAAGCAACGACAAAAGTTACAAATCAATAGTGGCAATACCATCAGTTGTTACCCCTTAATCATTGGTCTCCCTGCCCTAAATCTCTGCAAATGGCATGCCACATATGACAAAAACGCAGCTCCCGTGCAATAATTCGAGAGTGGTGTTCACGCTCAGATTATTGCATTAAACTGGAAACTCCTTTGGAAATTTATTTTTTTCCTTTGAAATCTAGAATTGTACCATGGCAACACCCAAAAGCTGCCATGACAGTGTTTTTTTTTTCTGGCAACCAGTGCCTGCAGGTCCGAAAAGTAAGCCATGGCTTGTGGGAAAAAAATTGTGGGCATTGCAGGCTGCGACAGGTGTCAACTACCATAAGTATACGCTCAAACCTAGATATAACGAATCCAGATATAAACAAATATCGGTTAGAACGAAGTAAATGAGGTGTACTTTTGCAATAGACAGATATACATTTATATTAATTTTCAGTTATTATAACAAACTTATTTTCGTGTAAAATGCAATTTCGTTTTAATGAGGTTTGAGTGTATGCTATGCGGCCACCTTCCTATCCACCACAATATGGCTGACATTGGCTTCACTGTTTCTTATGGGTAGGCATAAGCGGCTTCCACTGCAGAAATTTTTTATAACCTCCTTACCTATATCTTGTATTCAAACATAAAGAACAAGCACGAAGAGCCAACTGCAACCAAGACAAAGATCAGAGGTACCGCCACGCTCGCTTCTAGGTAACGAGCAAATTTTTTTTTTCTTTCTGGTTTTATGAATGCCACACGACGGCGACGAATTGCCCTTTGCGACAGCTAATTCTGTCATCGTTGCTAAAAAATTGCATTCAACTTGTTATTATTCTGTGTATTGGGGCCTTAAAGGGGCCCAATACACTTTTTCAAGTAAAAATGGAATAATTTCACTGGAAGAGCTTATTGCCTCACGAATTCAACGTCGCAAAAATTTGAAGAATCCGTCCAGTGCGAGCAGAGTTACAAAGGTTTGTTGCATGCTACAATTGCATTCTCTCTTCTCTCGTCTTGATGAAAGCGCTGGAAGTTAAGCAGGGAGGAATGGCAGGGCCACAGAAAAACGTCGCGCGCGTTTCGCGACCTTGAGCACTTTTTAAATTTTTTTTCTTCGAATGCACAACTTTTTCAGTGTGATCAGGCGCGCACACGTGGACAAGCAGCGGCCTCCCGCGGCGATATCTGGAACGAGCGAGCACGCCATGTTCAAATCAGCCAATGGCTTATAGGTTGATTCTTGACGTGTGATTTTTGGATACATGACGTGATTTGTCAAGAGAAGAGAAAGCAATATTTAGCTGACCGACAACTTATTTTGAACTTCAGGGTGCGTGCTGTGCTATAATATTTGGCTTGCATGTTGTCGGGAGCCTCAACTACCAATCGGCAGCATTTTCTGACCACGCTCAAAAAGTGTTCCAGGGCCCCCTTTTAAAGTTTTGTTTTTGCAGGAAGCGACCGCTGGTTGGCACAGGCAGTTTTGCGACCTTCTCTCGCTATGTGCTTGTGAGCCACAATGTCTTGCACTGCCGTCAATCGTGAATCCCACTGTGGCACAGGAATAATTAAAGACAATGAAACATGCTACACACTGATAGAAAGAAGAACAAAGAACAGGGCAGGGTGGCAGGCAAAGAGGAGAAGCAAGGAGCACACCGAGGGGGATCGTCATATTAAAGAAAGAGAACTCTAGCAACGAGCGCGTAGGCGCCCTGTGTCGTCCGTGTTGGTTCGCAGGACTGCAACGGAAAAACCTAGGGGGTGCGTTTATAACATGGTGGGGATCAAATTTTGACGACTGGAGTTGGGAGCGCATTTATTATTGCGATAGGAATTATATGGACACTCTCGGCTAAATTTTGCCGCCGACATTGGCGTTGACATAGGCATCGATGTCATCCACCGTACATGTATACGTATATATATAATATGAAGTCTTGGTAGTCTTGGCTGCGACAGCGTTTAATTGAGGAAAGACCTCGCAAAACGAATGGGCAGAGCCAGTACACAGACGATGACGATGATGACCCAGAGTGGCAATGAGGACAAAGAGACAAGCGGATGATGGTGATTGTGATCATGCAGGGATGAGGACGATGTAAGTAACAAATGCCCACACTAATTCCCCCCACTTGGAAGCGGACACCCTGGCCGCAGTAAGTCAAAGTGACGGGGAACGTCGCGTGAAAGGTTTCATGCGACAAACGTGGACAATCTCTGTGCTGCGGTAGCGGCGGTCTGTTGGGGCAACGAGTGGTGTCACGCGATAATTAACCGGCAAAGTCTGTTCTAAAACAATGTATGGCCCGATGAAGCGTGGTTGGAATTTGTCACAGAGACCAGGAGTGCGAATAGGTGTCAAAAGCAGTCTCTCGTCACCAGGTTGGAAAAACACAACGCGGTGGGATTCGTCATGGATGATCTTCCGCTCGTGCTGTCTCGCTTCAGTATTGATGCGAGCCTGATGGCGAGACTGGGCCAGGCGTGAAATGTATTCTTCGCTAGAATACTGACATGAATTCCCATGGCTGCTAAAGAAGCAGACGTCGAGAAAGGTAGTCGGGGTGCGTCCGTACACGAGGTAAAACGGTGAGTAGCAAGTTGTTCGCTGAACGGCGGTGTTGTAAGCGAATGTCAGGAATGGTAAAAGAGTATCCCAGTTTTTGTGGTCGGGTCGGACGTAAACGGCTATCATGTCTGCAAGGGTTCGGTGAAATCTTTCTGTGAGACCATTTGTCTGAGGGTGGTAGCTTGAAGCTGTCTTGTGAGTAGTTCCAGAAGCGCGCAGTACTTCATTTACCATTTGTGACAGGAACACTTTGCCGCGATCACTAAGCAGTACACGAGGAGCCCCATGATGCAGGATTATGGCGTGAAGAATAAAGTCTGCAACTTCCACAGCTGAGCCTGTAATAACAGAGGAAGTCTCAGCGTAGCGTGTCAGGTGGTCAACGGCGGTCACTATCCATCGTTTGCCAGCAGATGTGACGTGGAGAGGCCCGTAAAGGTCAACACCTACAACCTCGAAAGGCATTGAAGGGCACGGAAGTGGCTGTAGAGGTCCAGCAGGTGCAGACGTGGGGAGTTTACGACGCTGGCATGGGTAACAGAAACCGACGTACCGAGCTACACTAGAAGAAAGGCCAGGCCAGTAATAACGACATCGAATGCGGTCAAGAGTTTTTCTAAAACCAAGATGACCGGCAGTCAAGTCGTCGTGGAAGGCTTCGAGCACCTGAAGTCCAAGAGAGTGTGGCAGTACAGGAACCCAGCGCTGACCGTCAGGGTGGTGGACGTGGCGGTAGAGAACCCCATTGTCCAGCTTAAAGTGCAGGAATTGACGATGGAGTCGCGCGTTTGGTGGATGAGAAACTCCCGAAAGGTGGTCTATCATGCGTCTGCAGTATGAATCGGACCGCTGGTGGGAGATAAATGTTGGCTCGTCATCCGAAAAGGGTTGCGTTATTGATGCGAGCGTATGAACTTTGGTAGATGTGGCGGTTGAGTTCTCACCAACGCTCATATGTGTAGTTGGAAGCGGGCAACGAGATAAAGCATCGGCGTCTTGATGTTTTCTGCCTGACTTGTAAGTTATGTCAAAGTCGTACTCCTGCAAGCGTAGTATCCACCGACCCAAGCGTCCGGACAAGTTCTTCAGTGTAGAAAGCCAGCATAAAGCATGGTGGTCCGTAACAATTGTGAAGTGACGGCCGTGGAGATAGGGACGGAACTTCTGGACCGACCAAACCACAGCCAAGCACTCTTGCTCAGTTATAGTCTAGTTTTTTTCAGCTGGGGTGAGTACGCGACTGGCATATGCAACCACTTTCTCTAGAGAAGACTTGTCGCGTTGTAGAAGAACGGCTCCTATACCAAGGCCGCTAGCATCGGTATGAAGGATAGTCGGTGCTGCTTCGTCAAAGTGGCAGAACAGAGGTTCAGACGTGAGTGCCCGCTTCAACAGCTCGAATGCCGTGTGACATTCTTGAGACCACAGAAAGGGGACGTTCGAAGCGAGTAGCTGGTGTAATGGAGCAGCAATAGAAGCGAAGTTCTGAATAAACCGGCGAAAATACGAGGCGAGGCCAAGGAAACTGCGAAGCTCCTTTGGTTTTTCGGAACGCGGAAAGTGAAGGACTGCAGAAATCTTGTCAGGGTCGAGCCGGATGCCATCTTTGCTAACGACATGTCCTAAGACCTTGATATATTTGCTAGCAAAAGAGCACTTGTTAGTGTTTATTTGAAGCCCGGTGCCAGCAAGGCACGTCAGAACTTGATCCAGTCGTTCTAGGTGCTCAGGAAACGTTCACGAAAAGATAATGATGTCGTCCAGGTAGCAAAGGCAACTTTTCCATTTCAGGCCGCGCAGCATGGTATCTATCATGCGCTCAAAAGTCGCGGGTGCGTTGCAGAGCCCGAAAGGCATCACGTTGAATTCATATAGCCCATCGGGGGTGGCAAACGCCGTTTTCTCCTTATCGTCTTCATGCATGGAGATCTGCCAGTACCCAGAACGCAAGTCGATGCTTGAAAAAAATTCCGCACCTTGTAGGGAATCAAGGGCGTCGTCAATGCGTGGCATAGGGTACACGTCCTTACGTGTAATCTTATTGAGCGCCCGGTAGTCCACGCAAAAACGCACAGAGCCATCCTTTTTGCGGACCAAAACAATAGGAGACGACCAAGGGCTAGATGAGGGACGGATGATTTCCCGTTTAAGCATGTCCGCAACGTTTCCTTCTATAATTTTTCTTTCAGCTAGAGACACGCGGTAGGGTCGGCGGTGTACGATAGATGTCCCAACAGTTTGAATTCGATGTGCTGTAGTATTAGTGCGGCCCAGCTTAGACGAGCAAAAATCGAAAGAATTTGCATGTTTCTGTAACAATGCGAGCAGCTGCTGCCTCTGTGAATATGTCAATTCGCTGCTGATAGCGGTGGTAAAGG